TTTTATAAGGTTAATTAAAAACAAATATACATATATAATAATAATAATGATGATGATGATAATAATAATAATAATAATACTTACCTAAAGGAATGTTCCAAGATGGATTAATTAAAATAAAAATCACTACAAATTTAACAAACCAAACGTACATTTTTTAATAATTTTAAGTCATCATTATTTTCTTATATACTTTATTTATTTATTTATTTATTTTATTATGTATGTATTTTTAATTATTAATTTATTTTAAAAAAAAAAATTAATAATTAATTATTATCATTAAATTTTTTTTTCATTCATTTTCTTTTTTTTTTTTTGGTTAAATAAAAATTATAAATAAAAAAAAACACAAAAATCAGGTTCACCGTTACCTTAATATATATTATTCAAATTGATTGTCAAAAATAATAATAATAATAATTAAAAAAATATATACATAAATATGTATAAATAATATATTTTTAGTATAAATAAGTAAATAAATAAAAATAATAACCGCACGTTAGCATAGTATTATGCCTTTTGACTCCGGTCAGGTGGGTACACATGAATAACAATAACAACAACAACAACAACAACAACAACAACAATAATAATAATGATGATAAAATCTGCGACGATACTACAACATGAATCGGATACCTTCCCCCCTCCCCCATAAAATGTAGTGGGAGAACGAATATCATCAGTTTTACGCGACAAGCAACCTTGAACCTTGTTTAACAGCCGCGCAAGGTCGGTTTTTTCTTCGTTCATTCATCTTTACTTAATTTTTTTTTTTTAATATTATCATCATTATTATTATAATTAATGTTTAATTAAGATTACGATGAAAAGTTATAATAATAATAATAATAATTTATTAACGTATAATATTTTAATAATTACAATAAATCGTATTTTTTTTTTTTTTAATGATGAGAGAAAAAAGGAAAAGAAATTTAAAATTAATTTTTTTTAAATAATATTAATAATAATGATAATAATAATCGATAAGAAATTATTAAAATATTCGAAAATGATAATGATAATTTTTTGCGTTTTGTAATAAATAAATAAAATTATGAATTATGTGAGTGCCCTTGTTCTTGTTCGCACAAAACGAACACAATTAAATAATAGGTGGAAAAAAAAGAAAAAAAGAAAAAAGAGGTTTCATTGATGAGGACAATATTCAGGTACGTTGAAAGAATATAATAATAATAATAATAATATTTTATCTGATGTTTTTAAAAGAAATTTTTTCGTATTCAATCGAGAATTTTTTTTTTTTTTTACTACGTAAAAAAAAAAAAAATTAAATTTTTATTTGTTTAAAAATAATAATAAATAACATGGGAGAAGAAATTTATGTAAATAATATGCGAGAGTTAAGAAGGTTTTTGTCTGGAAAAAAAAAAACAAACCTGACAATAAAAAAGAAAGAAATTAAGGTACCGTTAAGAAAAATGATAAGCGACACACGTTAAAATGGGTATGTGTGATCATTAGTCCAAACTGGAGATGATACGTTTGGATTTTTCCATTTAGAAAAGAACTAAAAGTTGAAGCCACTTTTTTTTTGTTCTTACTGGATATTATGATGTGTACTGTAAGGGCATAAGTCACCTGGGGGGGCTTTGACCTTTTTGCATCATTTTTTTTTTTTTTTTTTTACCTTTTACTATATGTATTATGTTTAAATCGATTGAGGCAAGGTCGCGTACTAACTAATAACCATAAACCTGAGTTTTCTTCACTGTAGGTCATTGATATTTGGCAATAGTTTTTGATTATTACACTTAATTGGTAACAAAAATCAACCTCCTCACTCGTTCGCTAACGGTATAATTTTTTTTTTTTTTTTTTTTATGTAAAGTAGTAAAATCCGCTAGTTTTTATTAATTGCTAAAAAAAAATTTTTTTTTATTCCATGTGACTAACTTAAAATGCATATTGTGTATTTTTTTTTTTTTTTTTACTTAATTATTTTCCTTCTTTTTTTTTTTTATTTATGCATTTAACGTGTTTTCTTTTTTCCTCCTTCATTTTAAAAAATTATAAATTTATTTTAAAAAATATTTAAATGTAAAAAAAAATTGATTATCATTCTTGTTTTTTTTTTAAATAATAATTTTATTAAAAAAAAAAAAAAATTATACATTATTATTATTATTTAAAAAAAAAGGTACAATTTTCATTTTAAAAATATTTTTAAAAATTATATATATAAATACAT